TTCTTCCCGTTTACTTATATTTGTGCTCATTTGCGTGCGATGATGCTCCTTATTTACGATCGCTGGATGCCGACGCCGCCTTCTTGGCCAACGCCTCCTCCACGATTCCCTCTAGCTTACCCTTCTCCGCCAATGCCTTGAGAAGCTCCACATTCATGGGAACATAGTTATGACGACGGCGCTGATTCTCCGCGCGGCCCTTTTCGCGTTGCAACCGCAATTCTTCTAGTTGTTCTGCGAGGTACGCTGTTGGTTCTTCACGTGCCTTTGCCTCCTCAATTTCCTTTTCTAATTGCAACAGCCTATCATCAACCACGGCCATGAGGGAGAAGGAAATGCCTTGACCTGTTCCCGTATTATCCGCGGCGCTTTTGTCAATCACACGTTTCTGCACCACTTCCACCAGTTTCTCCTTGTAGTTACCGTCCGTGGCGTCGGCGGCAAGGATGGGACCCTTCTGAAGACCATCCAATTCCCAAACAGCCCCATTTTTATACACAAATGAGACAAAGTGGTATACATCACTGGCATCGGGGGTCTCATCGTGCAGTACAAAAAATTCAGTTGGGGCAAACGAGTTGTGGGCTTCACGTAACACATCGCTCTCCGCCACCTGCGTTCCACGTAAATAGGCGTTCATTTCCCGTGTAAACTCAAGGAGATTGCTAAGCTCATCACCCAGCTGAATACTTTCGCTGTAGTTAAGAAGCGTGTTGACCATTGCGAGAGTTGCGCAGGCGTTGTTGACGGTTTGCCGCGCAAAGTACACAGGTGCGTCGGGCACCACCACCCCGTCTGATGTTGGGGTTTTGCCCGACTTCCACTTGAAGAGCAGAATGAGACCGTAGACGTTCGTGTATTGGCGCAAAAACTCAGGCTCCAGACCCAATATTTCCTCCACGGCAACACCGCGTGCGCCAAAGCGCTCAATTAACTCCGTAAACACGGCCGGATCGCTTTCAATAAGGCACCAACTAGGCATAATGACCCTCTCTTTTGTGTGCAGGGTGGAGCGGAAGGTACTCAGCCACTTTCACTTGAAGAAATAAAAACAGAAATCTTCAAAAAAAAAAAAAAAAAAAAAGGGGGAAACAAGCAAATAAGCACAGACAGAAAAAGAAAAAGGAATGAGAAAAAAAAAAAAATCCCACAATGAAAGAAATAACAACGGCTTTGCACACGCACACACACGCACGTACCCGTATACCTACAAAAGAAGAAACAGAAAAAATACCAAATCATGGAAGATAAATAACTGACTGAACGTGAGAAAGAGAGCAGGATACAAAATGACTGGTGTCAACAACTACAGTCTAGTCCAAAATCGGATTCTATTTTAAGCGTCTTTGTAAGGTTTTGAAGAGCGTGAAGGACGCCATCATCTTCCACTCGCAGTACGTAACTCATCCCTTCTCCCTTTTCCATCGTCGTCCAGGCGTGTGCATCTAGCAGTGCATGGAGCGCCCGCAGGTAACCGGGGGCGCCCATGAGTACCTGCAAGGGGAACCTTTTATCGCCACAGTAAATGGCCGCAGGGTAGCCGTAGTGCCGTGTGAGCAATTCTGGTGAGAGCAGGTGTAGAAGCCCTAGACATTGAACCGGCCCAGGCAAGAGCACAGCTGGCGGTGGAAATGCGAGTTTGTCCACGCCAGCAATGACGTGTGCCCATTGGTGTTTTTTGAGGCACCGGAGAAACACCCCCGCGTCACCCAATGGTCGCCGTACGCGATGCCGCAAGACGCTCGCAAGACACCGAAGACCATCAATGATATACACAACACCCGAAAAGCGAAGTGCGGAGGCCAAATGGGAAACAAACCCCACTAAAACCGTTTCGATGAGGGCATCCCGTAGCATCATGTCCCGCGGGGAGTTTTCCACTGCGCGCAGGACCTGCACAGCGGCTACGGCAAAAGCGTCCCACTCATAAAGTGCCCGATGACCGACAACTTGCGCCAAGCGCGAGCCACCAAATTGAGGCGCATCCAAGTCCCTCCGCGTCACAAGTTGCTCCCACGCCTCCACAAGAACTTTACTGTCATCACGCAAGGACGGTCGCTGGGCCACCGCGGAGTCTACCACTAGTCGCACCAGCGTCAGGAAAAAAAATGGCACATCCAGAAGAAGTGCTTGCTGGTTGTCCACGTCGACAGGTGGTACCCTCTTTTCATCCGGCTTCCCTCCATTTGACAGCTGAAGCCACGCGGTATCAAATAATAGCTCAAAGTTGAGAGGTAAAAAGAGACACCCATGAAAACGACTAACCGGGGCTGAAACCACCATGTGGCAGCAATACGCCAGTGTGGTCGAGACCCCACTCTTTGGTGGCCCCTCTACGACCACGCGAGCCGCAGCCTCCTCATTTCTCGAGATGGCTGTCGCAACGATGGGCTCGAGACGCAGCCGTAACTCCTCGCAAAAAAGCAGCTCATTCACCAAAAAAGGGCGCCCAAGAAGCTTCAAAGAAAGGAGCGTACGCACTGCGGCAACCTTTTCAGAGTGCTGCACTTCCGTCACGGCTCCTAATGCCGGGTCAACAAAGCGAGGAGGCGGCGGCAGCACCACACGGTGCCCGTTGATATTGAAGACAGTAGCGTCCAACTCAATGCCTTTGCCGCTCCGTCCACCACCGGCATTTTTCGCCGCTCGTTCGGACGAGTTTTTCCCGCCGCCACTCACATTATGCGAATAAAATGCAATCGCAGGAGTGGCAGCAGCCGCGCAAGAAGGAGAAAATAAAGAAGCGGCAGTAGCAGAAGAAAAGGCATCAAAGCGAAGAGTGGACGCCGATACTTCTGCCGTGCTGCGTTTTCTTTCGAGAAAGCCTGGAGTGCAACTCACAACCACCTCACCGGCCTCAAGACAGTCCGAGACGTGCCACAGGGGTTTTCCCTTCAGTGAGTACACAAAGCGGTAGCGGCCAGCAGCCGTTGCGTCACCAGAAAAGGCAGCTATGTGCGCCGAGACAACTCCCAAGAAGAGCTCCAACGTGTTCACTTCACGCGGCACTCGAACCCTCGTCACGTGCTGCAAGCAGACGTCATGGTTCTCGAACACCACAAGCTCGGTCATCGCGGTGTGCGTGTGTGTGTGACCCTTCAGCTTGACAGGAACGCCCCCCTCACCACCAACAACAAAATATTTGGGTTGACTAAAAAAAACAAAAAACAAAGTAATAAACAAAAAGTTTCACCGCCGACAAGAGCACACACACACAAAAACAACAACAACAACACTGAGACCAGCCCAATCTTCCCACTCGTTCCCTCTCATTTATTCATATCGACTGCACCTCAAATAATAATAATAATAATAATAATAATAATAATAATAATAATAATAATAATAATAATAATAATAAATAAATAACAAGCACACAAAAAGCAAAAAAGATGATCATTGAAAGACAAAAACATAATAATAATAATAATAATAATAAAAACAAATTAAGGAGAGAGCGGCAGCATAAAGAAAGAAGCATTTTTTTTCCTTCTCTTACCAGTCGTAGTAACTACACCTCCAATGTGCAGCTCTGGTAAGTGTACGATGGAATTCAGCAGCAAGGATAACCCTACTCCGCGGGCAGCCATTATAGAATGGCTCCAACATCTGCCCTTCCGGCCCGTAAAACTAAGTAACAACTACTCATCGAGTTTGAAGCATGAACAGCAGGCGCTCAGCTTCCTCTCTAGTAAGCGAATACTAGACCCTGGCACCACGTTGAGGTGGCCGGCTGCGCCAGGGAGAAAGAATCATCATAAAAAGTAACAAAATTTCGATAAAAAACGATAGCGAGAACACTTACCAACAGCCTTCATAGTAACGCTTTCAAACTATAAAGGGTATTTGCAAGGAACAGTTCTTGTTCTCATGTGTGTATATATTTGTATATGGGCGTCTCCCTCTTTCTCTCTCTCTCTCTCTGTGTGTGTGTGTAGGCCTACTCCCGTCCTTCGGCAACATCACTGCACTCATCTCCCAGCACTGCGCTACGGCTATAGTTGTGAACAATGCTAGGGCCGTGTTCCTCGAAGATGTCCCTCGTTAACAAATGATCCGAGAAGGTTGAGAGCCCTGCCAAGACGCTTGCCCCTGACCAAACGCTGTATTGGCGGTCAACTGCGTCAATCACCTTCGCGCTTCCAAAAAGACCAGGAAACTCCTTCAGCACCTCTCCTGCCAGTCGTGAGGCAAAGCCGTCAAACAATGTGTTCCCGCCACTGAGAATGATGCTAGAGAGTAAATCTTTACGAATATCAATGCCGCAGCTCTTGACGGCCTTCACGACAAATTCTGACATGGAGGGATTCTCCGAAAAAGTAATGAACGGAGAGAAGAGAATTTCGGGTGCCCGAAAGGCTTCTTTTCCGACATAAATTTCCTGCCCGTCCGGAAGAGAAAATAAACGCCGCTTTTCATCCCCCTCTTGAAGCTCCACTTCATAATTTGGTGACACGTAGCAAAGACTTTCTTTAATGCTCTGCACCGTTAGCCTATCCTGCGGTGAAGTGAAGTTTAACCCACGTTCAAACAGAAGGGTGCGTAAGTGCTCGGTGACCTCGTGTCCACCAAGATTAAAACGACTTGCCGCGTTTCTTATAATATATGAATCGTACACAGGCGTCACTTGCGTCACCCCATCCCCCGAGTCTAAAACTACACCTGTTGTACGTCCGCTGGAGTACAGTGCACACATACCAGATGGGATAAGTGCAATTGAGGGCACACCAAAGGCCTCAAATAACACCTCCGCCAGCTGCTCCGAGTTCCGCTTGGGTGTGAACAGCGGTTCCGTGCAGACAATAGACGTCTCCTCCGAGTTCATTCCAAACTCAACGAAGGTGTGATGGATAACCTGCTCCATCCTGGGCCAGTCCTTCACGATGCCGTGCCGAATAGGGTGGTGCAGCGTTGCCCGGTGCATCTCGTGGATGGCCTCCGCACCCACCAGAAATGGTGCAAGTGGTGCCTCCTCCAGCGCTATTTTGTTGCGTTTCAGCAAACCATTCTTCTTTGCCGGCACGCCAACGACGGCGGGGAAAATGAGTGATGGCAGGGACTCCGTGACCGTCCCCGCCTTGACCAAAGAAGACCCAAAGTCCACGATGATCATTGCGGTCGCAGTCAAGAACGTGATGGGGGGATTTCCCTCAACTTGCGTGTGCCGTCTTACACCACCCTTTTCCCTTTTTTTCTTTCGTGCTGCACGCCAAAGCCCAGCAAAAACCACCACAATCGCCACACCCCTCTGGTTACCCCGTGCGTGCAAATATGCAACTTTGTCAGAGCGATGAATAAGAGAGTGGAGCCACGCTAAAGAATGATCCACGAAGAAACAAGGGATGCACAAGAAAAACAGACCAACCAACCAACCAAAAAAAAAAAAAAATCACGATGAAACATAAAATAAAAGCTTCCCCTCTAACACACCTCCCTCTCTCCAAAGAAAAAGAAAAAAAAAAGTTATTTAATAAATGAACTTCCCCTGTCCTTCCTTTGTGTCTTCAAAAGCATATGGTCCTCATTTGTATTCCTCAACAACAGCCAGGAAAAGCGCACACATACACATGGAAGTGCCAAAAAAAAAATCGCGGGAAAACGTATCCTTTTTTAAAGGTTTAGTTCTTCACATCCCCTCAAACGTTTGAAGTAAACACCTTTAGCCAAACCCCTGCCCTCACAATTGAAAGGCGTTTTTGACTTGCTTCAAACTCAGAAGTCCTTTCCGATGTGGCGTTGGCTTAAACTTATTGTATGCATGCAGCCACAGCGATGCCTCCGCGTCTCCAACATACTTCCCGTGACGTCGTAGGAGCACCAATGCTTGGGACTCGTTTAGCGCGGCGGATTCATTCGGGTTGGTGTGGGAAAATAATACTAAACGGCAAATGGCGCGGTGAAGCGTCCACCCCTCGTACTCCGGGTAAAAGGGGGAGATAAGACGCCAGAGGAAACAAAGTGTGCACAAGACATCACCACCCCCCATTACCTCTGACGAGAGTTGATCGGAGAGCAGAATTAATGGCAGCACCACCGCACCCAATGATTTCGCTGCAGCCTTCAGAAACATGCCCGCATTTCTCCTTGGAACACCCGCCTTCGTTCGTCCTGGCATGGATGGCCTCCATGTAAAGGCGTCGAATACCGACGTCGCGCATCAACATTTCTACAAGAGATGAATGCCATCCCATTGCCATGAACTGCTCAAAGCCTTCATTTACAATGGAGGTCATTGGAACGCAGAAAAAGTAAAACAATATACGATATAGCCAGTGATCCGGATGCACGCGGATTACAGATATTTTACGCATCCCTTCCAAAAGCCACGTCATAAGTCTATCGTATGTCACATGTCCGGTAATATTATTGAATGATACCACCAATTGTGATACCATCGCCCTTGAGTCTTCTGACCATTTAACGCTCGCTCCACAATGCAAGCACGGTTTTTCTGGTAAAAGAAGTGGATCGTGATCTTTTGTCTCTGTGTTTTCGTTCGTGAATGGAAGATGTGTGTACCGAAGGCAGTGAGGGCATTTAATTTGCTCTTGTGTGGCGGAGTTCTCACTGTCCATGGAGCATCGATCACACTTGCACCAGAATAGCCAGGAACGAAGATACTCTCTTCGCTTCCCCACACCCATAAGGAAGTGGGCGTCGCTGAGGTATTTGACATTCACAAAATCCCCAGCACTTATAGGCCGCACGGCAATAAGTGTTACCGTCTCATCCTCCGGGTTGTACTTCATGGCGGCATTCGCGTGGCAGCTGTGGTTGGCCAATGCGCACGCACGAAAAAAACCGGAGTGAAAACAATTGTACCGACAAATGACAGCCAGAGTAAATAGCGATTCAAAGTCATCGTCACCCATCTCGGGTAGCTGGCTTCGCAGTGCATGAGAAAGCTCACTTCGAACGTCAGCCGAGATTTCCTCTGGACGGCGTGGCCAGCAGCCCTTGAACTGCTTGTTAAACCGAACCCATGTCTCCGAATGAGAACACTGGTGCGGATACATTTTATTTGCAAAGTGAGTTACAATCCCCATGGTTGTCAGATCGCTCTGGGCGCCGAGATCCATTTCTGCAAAGAAGGTTTCAAACCGTTTTTCCACGAGAATAATTTCGTTGGGTTTCACCGCTCTGCGAGCGACAATGCCAACACCACCCTCATACTCATCCAGCTCAATGTGAGGCAACACCCTGGAGAGACCCAAATCTTCGTACAGTGGTGCCTCCACCAGCGCCACATCACCCGCAATGTGCTTCGGTAGAGTGGACGGTGGAGAGTTCCGTAGTAGAGGTCGAAGTCGTCGCAATAGCGTCACGAAGGCCTCAAAGGGGTATCCGTCCATTCGTCTTCCTTGTATGTAACGGAGCCACCCCTTTGCAAAGGTAGGATCGTAAATCGTCGCCTGCTGAGCAGCTTTCCAGCTCACCTCATAATCCCCTTTAATGTTATAAAGGTTACTTAAATTTGAATACAAAACTGCAAGCAACTCCCCGGCACCACCGACAATGTCATGTATGACGCCATTCTTTTCCTCCGGCATGTTCTTCCCCTTCTTCTCCTGCAATAGAAGGCCAATGGCTTCTTGGTAGGCTGCTGCTGCGCCATCAATGTCCCCGTTGTTGAAGCATGCGTTACCTTTTTGCTTAAGGGCCCCAGCTACCTGCATCTATTCGTGGTGTGACTATCTACACAGATAGACAGACCCAATACTGTGAAAAGTAAAGAAAGAAGGGAGCAGACCATAAACCAAAAAAGACAACAACAACAACAATAAAAAAAGGTATGCCTCACCAGAGAAGTGAATGCTGCTTGGCCAAACCGCCGTCACCTCCCCCATTTACACAAGCACACATAAAAAATCCCTCTCCCTCTCAAACCATTGTTTTGTTCTTCATTTTTTTTTTTTTTTTTTTTTGGAAGTTTCTTTTGTGCTTCCTTCCTTTCAACTTCAATTGGGTCGATCAAAGGTGGAGTACGCAAGGTCCCGCACCGACAAGGTCTCGGTTAAGTGTGCCACAATAATCGTGCATATCTCGTAGATGAGGCTGAGTGGTCCGTACGACAGCAGGCTAACTTGCATGCACGCAAACCAACGCCGGTAGTTTGCATGGATGGCATGTGCGTAGACGCCCAGGAACCGCGCCAAAAAACTAGACTGCAGAGAAAAATTTGCCATCGATTGAATCGGCCCGCGGACAAACAAAGGCGATGGGACCTCCCACGTGGGTTCCACGTCACCAGCGGAAGTAACAAGCACGTGAATGCACTCAGAGAAAATCTGCTTCTGTTGTTCTTGCTGTTTTATTTGCGAAACGGACTTTTGTGATGCGCTTACTGGGGACGATGCCCCCCATTCACGGCGAATGGTACTGTACACCATAGCCCGGGCGTGCCGCTCATTGTGCATGCTACTCACGACAATGACATTAAAGCAGCCACGGTGTGCCCGCGCGTTCTTTTCTGTCGGTCGTTCTTTACTGTCTTCGTTCTGGAAATCGGCATGAACCGCAAGAAGCCGCTGCTTCATAAGCCTCACAGCCTGCTCCGCGTACGTCATCGTTTCGGCCTCTTCCGACTGGCCCGCCTCGCCCCAAAGAAAACCGGGGAGAATCCATTCAGCAGCTCCGTAGCGCAGTAAACGCGGAGACGACATGTCTTCCACCTTCATTTCTTCGTCCACATAAGAAGCGTGCGACAGACGCTTCAATAACCGCCCACGCCGGATCCAATTCTTCAATGACGTGTCAAAAGACATCGAGTCCCGCATCTGCACGGCGAGTTTCTGAACTTTGGCTGGCAGCTCTGACAACGTGGCATCGGGAAAAAGTGCCTCCGATGGAGATCGCAACTCCCATAAGAACTTTTCAGCGCTTCGCCGCTCTTCTACGCTGCCCGGAACAATAATCCATGGCGCTCCAGCCAGAAGTGCTGTGCGAACACCGTGCAGAAGTCGTGCCTTGGTGATGCTGCTGATAACACCCTCTGGTAGGGACGGGGCACTCATGACAATCACCGCCAGGACTTGATTTGTGTCGACATCGGCACTGAACGATGCCTTGGGATCATCGCTGGATGTGTTGCCACCTTCATTCGTTTGAGAAAAAAACCCTTTATTAACGACGGCATCAATGAACACGGCATCGCCATTGCGCAGCACACTGATATGGTCGTCACCGTCCAGCCCAAAGACATCATCGCATCGCAGCCAGGACTCAAATGCAGTCAGCAAGACGCACAAGAAAAGGATGAAGAAACCGGTGGCAAGACAGAAGTTTACCGACATCGGGACAACACCCCTTTCAATCCCCTTTAATTCCCAGTCTCACACACAGAGAGAAAAAAAAAAAGAGAAAACAAAAAAATATGGAGGGAGAAGGTCTCCCAAGTCAGTTGTGTGCACCCGAAGTGGAGCAAAGAGACAAAAAAAAAAAAAAAAAAAGAAGATTGCGGCAAGAATCGCCCACAAAAAAAAAAAAAACGGGTAGAAGCCAAAATCTTCCCCTGTGCATGAAAGTGCATGGAAAGCAGAGAGACGGCGCAGAAATTGTCTGCCCAAGCCATATAAAGACACCATATTTATAAAGCATACACAACCAACAAGCCAGGGAAGAACGGCAAGTGGCAGTCAAAAGGAAAAATAACGCCTCAATACACACACACACAAAAGGTAGAAAAGTAACAACAACAACAAAAAAGAAAAAGATAAAGAATGAAAAAACTTGCGTACATGAAATAATGTGATGGAGTTGTCATCATCGATGAGAGGTGAAAGAAAGAGCCTTTAAGCCAGAGACAACCGTTCTAGCGCGAGTGCTGGGGCTATGACTCTTGGCCCCCTTCTTCTTTTCGCCGACGACATCCTTCGGAGAACTATCATCCCAGTCCGAGGAGAGGCGTTTATTGCGCGTCCCCTCATTTCGTTTCGCTGCTGTTCGCTGGCGTTTATTGCCACATTTTTCCGAGGTGTCCAGCGTCAGCGTGATGGATGTGGAGGAGAGTGAACTTGACTCGACAGTTTGGTTGATCGGGTGTTGCGACCCGCTCGCCAGTTCCTTTCCTCTCCCCTCTAACAAAACGGCGAAGGCGGGGCCATCCACGCCATCGCTCCTGTGGTCTTTCTTTGAATTTGCCCCACTAAAAGATGTCACCAACTCACCCTGACGTGTCTTGGGTGGGACGTCACTACTCTCGTCAAATGAGTTCTCTACCACCGCCGGCTTTGATGCCCCGTGGGTGTCGTCGTGTGCCTCACCGCCCTCAACATGCACAGAGGAAATGGTGCCGTCAGTGCCCGAAGTGGTGCAGCTTGACATTGAACCATCTCGCTGCAGCCGACGGATAACAATGCCCATCGTTCCGCTCTCTCTTTTCTCACCCACTACTACTGAGAGGCTGGCGGCCTTTCTGGCGGCGCCATCATCAGTCATCACAGCAACATCCTCCGGTAACGCGCCGCTGCTGATCGTGGCAACGCTACGTGGCGACACGGAAGCATAACGGTCCAACTTCTGCGGTGCCACATTCTCTTCGGCTTCCTTTTGATTCACTTCTTCCTGTTGCGTCGCATTCCAACTAGCGGAAGAGGCGGCGGATTCCACCGACGCGTGACGCGCCGGTTGTTCTGGTGGCGGAACACCATTGTCTTTCTTCTCCACCTCAGGCTTTGAGGTGTCGGACGAGTTTTGCCCCGTGAAAGCGGCATCGGCGCCACGAACAACCAAAGCAGTACTTTGAGGGGACACAAGAGCGGCTTCACCAGCAGCAGCAGAGAGCGCTGAAGCCGGACGGGCTCCCACGCGCATTGCCTCCGTGCGCAGCGTGTGAATGCTCTTCATCTTCGTAGCCCGGGGTATGCGTGCATTTGTTGGAATAAATGGAGCCGCAAACTTCGCGTACAACTGAGCAAGCGCTGGCGGGAATTTGGTTGCTTGTGTGGCATTGGTAGTAGTCGCGGCATTGGTATTGGCAGCCGCAGCATCCTTGGCATCTCTAATAACTGCCTGGTTTTCTAGTCTCTCTACCTCACGCTGAAGACGTTGGATCTCACATGCCTTCTCCTCCATACATGCATTCCACCGCAACATTTTCCACCGATCTTGAACCGACGAGAAAACATGCATTTCTTTTTCAGCCATCATCTGCATTCGCTCAATCGCAAGCATGTACTCCGAAAACAAAGACTCCAGTGTGGCAACTGAACTGTATGCAAGTCTCCGCAGTAGCGGCATATCCTGGGGTACTTTAGAGGTCAAAACTGATGTTTCTGCTTGGGATGCGCGCGGTTCTTCTGCTTTTGGCGTCTGATTTGGCCAAGGGGAAGAATTGGACTTGACATCATTCTTGTATCGGTCTAATATCTCCTCTATACGTATTGACAATTTCTCTAAGCATTTCACTACATTCTGCAGCGATGCAACGTGAATTCCTACATGATCTTCCGTCCGCGTGGGCTCTGCATCCGGCTTGCCTGTTTGCCTTAGGCTCTTGACTATCTCATCAATGCGCGTTACGATGCTCTCGAGGCGCTGCTTGACATCCGTAGAGCCGTTACGAACTGCATCGGCCTGCGCTAAATCGTGGCTCGCTGACGGCGAAGTCACCGGCAATACGCCCGCTGCATCCCTGACAGTCAGTGCGCTGCAAACCCTCTGCGGGATCGCCTCCAGCAGCCTCGTGAGCCGCTCGTTCTCCTCCCGAAGTGAACCCTGCAGTGCATTCACAACACATTCGGGTATTTTGCCCAACTTCATCTCTGACTCGGTTTGCGGCGGCGCAGTGGCCCTCTCGCTGCCCCGTGGCATCATGGCCGACTCCACCTGTCGCCGCATTGTCGTTACCCGGAAGAAGAGCCACAATAAGTCGCTGTGGGCGGCCGACTCGTCCTTTACGATGAGACCTCGTGCCTCGCACTCGTCCATCACAATCGCCGACGCATCCTGCACAAGTACGGCGTGGTAAAGCAGCTGGCACGCGGCGTCGTACTGCTGCGTGAGCTCCGCCACCTCCACCTCAAGTTGTTGAATATACCGAGTCGACGACGCCTCTAGCAACGCCATGCTGTCGCCGTGGGGTTGCGTGCCGTCCTGGCCGACGGCAGAAAAAACGCTCTTCTGCGGCGGGTACAACATATTCGCCGCCTCTACCGCTAAGAGCGATTCAATAAAAATAATAATAAAAAAGAAAAAAAAAAAAAAAAAAGAGAAAAAAATATATAACAATTCGCCGCCAGGAAACAAACGCATACGACCGACCGACCGGCACAAAACCCAAAGTTATTCGACAGGAGCAGAAGTCAAAAAGAGGCCGCACGTGTGAACCCAAACGCCGCGTAATGCTGCGCGTCCTCCATTCGCTCAATGGAGCGTCCCTGGGCGGCGGGAACACATGACGGCATCCCGTCAGGCCGTGAAGCCCCACGCCCCTTTTCTCCACGCACTACGCATGCAGGAAAAGAAAAGAAAAAAGAGAAGAGAAAAAAAGAAAAGAAAAGAAAAAAATGAACACTCACACAGAAGGAAGAAAAGAAAAGAAGAAAAAAGAAGCAACAACACCAAACCAACGCAGCCCCGCAGTGCACAAGCGACAGAACCAAAAAATAAAAAAAATAAATAAAACGTTATTTTATTTCATGAACAAAAGAGAGACACACACGCAAAGAGTAAAAAAAAAAAAAAAAAAAAAAAAAAAAGTGAGAAAAAAAACCTCAACAAACAAAAACAAAAACAAAAAAAACAAAACATCTTTCACTGTGGGAAATTAGGGGCATAAATCATAGGACGTGACGCAGAACAAATGGTTCAATGGGGACACAACCCTTCTTTACCCCACCAACGAAAAAAAAGAGAAAAAAAAAACAAAAAACAACAAACTTAATTATAAATAAATATTTTAAACAAAACCAAACCAAAACAAAACAAAAGAAAAAAACAACAACAACAACAACAACACACGCACGAACCAACAAAAAAAAAAAAAAAAGAAAACAAAAAACAAAACACCACCACTTCCCTGAGGTGCGCTTCTCTCAATGCCCCACCCCTCTCCCACCATTCATTCCTTTGGCACACGCAAAGTGAATCTGCATAGCCTCGTACCGCATAATTCTTGTAAGACAAATAACACCTAAGCGATAAACCGTCTCCGGAGGCTTCGAAAAAAGCTCAAACGCAGAGGAAACAAAAAAAGAAAAAAACAGGGAATGAATTCCATATCTTAAACACATTAATGATCATGTTACTAGTAGTATCGGTAGTAATAGCTGTGTTAATTATAACCGCCTCCCACACGTATGTTTGACTCTCTTTCTTCAAAGCAGCTTCCGAACCAAATTATTCCTCATTTATATTTAAAAGTCGATTATTAAATTCCGATGTTAATTTTATTTCGAAACATCGTGAAAGGCCTTCGCCACGTAAGAAACATTGGTGCTGTTCAGTCCGGAGATGGCTGCACGACCATTGAGGGTCATGTAGATGTGGTGCTTCTTTTTCAGCATTTCCACTTGTTCCTTCGTGAGACCCGTGTATGACATCATGCCGATCTGGCGCTCAATGTGCGACCAATCAAGAACCGACCCGCACTCACCCAGCTCCTTTACAAGGCGCCGACGCACATCCTGCATGCGACCAGACATTGCCCTAAGCTCCTCTTTCCACAGTGCCGTGAGTTCCTGCGAGTTCAGAATAGAGTCAACAATACGGGCCCCAGTAATGGGAGGATTACTGTACATGGTGCGAATAAGAAGAGCGTATTGCGATAAAACGCGCCCCACCTCCTCTGGGTTCTCAATAACCATATGCAAGGCGCCACAGCGGAGACCGTACAAACCAAAGTTCTTCGAAAAGGATTGTGCCACGATGACGTTCGGAACATTCTCGACGAGGCAACGAGGCAGGAAGGCGTCACGGTCAATATCACCGGTGGCAAACCCCTGGTAAGCCATATCCACGAAGGGCAAAAGGTTTCGTCGCTTAATCACGTCCACCACCTGCAACCACTCGTTTTGCGTGGGGTCCACCCCGGTAGGGTTATGGGCGCAGGCGTGCAGAAGAACAACAGAGCGTTCGGGCATCGCCTCCAGTGATTTGAGCATGCCGGGCAGGTCGATGCCCTTCGTGGCGGGGCTGTAGTACGTGTACGGCGGCAGTGTTATTCCGGCCGCCTTGAAGATGCCGGCATGGTTGGCGTAGCCAACGTCGGAGGAGTAAATATTGCTGCAGTCGTTCACAAAATTGTGAAGCATTTCGCCACCAATACGCAGTGCACCGGTCCCTCCAAGTGTATGGCAGCTCGCAACGCGGCCATCGCGAAGTGCGCGGGAGTCCTCACCGAAGCAAAGTTTTTGCGCCGCCTTCAAGAATGACCGCATGCCGTTGATGGGGGCGTATTCCATGTCACTGCCGGTATCCGACCTCTTAACCGACTCGAGAACAAACGGCCGGTTCGCGTCGTCGCGGTAAACGCCAACGGCAAGATTGACCTTCGGGGTGTGGGAATCCTGCTGGAACTCAGCCGATAGGCCCAAGATGGAGTCAGGCGCTCCCAGGGGGACGGACGCAAAAAAACTGCTGGCGGCGCGGCGAAGTTCCAGTGGGGCCTTCGCGGAAACAATTTTGGCAGAGAAAAAAGAGCGCATTGTAGATAAAGATATGGCGGATGTTGGTTTGTAAAAGTGGCTTGGGAGAAAACTGAGGGACAGGCGTAAACGGTCATTTGGAGAAAAAAAAGAAACAACAACAACAAAACGCACAATTGTCTGTGGGCGTTGGCCGCGCAGCAGCCTCGCACGTGGGAGACCCCCGCAAGGTCACCCCACTCGCCAAAACACAGAGAAGAGAAAAGCACGAGATGATTCCTCCCCTCCCACAAGAAAGAAAGAAAACAAAAAACAAAACAAGTAAAAAACCGTTCGTTTTGGAAGTGTGCATAGCACAGAAATCACACGCAAAAATATCCCACAACACAAGCGCGAACGCAGTCTGACCAATAATGGAAGGAACATTACAAAGCGACATGTTAAGGATTCAAAGGAATATGCGGTTGCAACACGCCGACACACAAGGCGTCATACGTACCCCCCCCCCCCCCCAAATTTTTTTGGTGACGCTTATTGGATATGCCGTCGCTTCTTGTATATAGGGCTGAAAGCCATTTGTACTGCGAATGTTGTTGTTGTTGTTGTTGGTTTTTTTCTCTTTCTTTTCTTTTCTTTTTTTTTTTTTTTTTTTAATTTCTCAACCACTCATTGTTTGGTCGGACGCATGCGAGCATCCGGCTAAGAAATTGGCATCCCGTCACTCAACTGGTGATCATTACGGCTGAGTAATTATTCTTTTTTCTCTCTCTTTTCCCTTCAACTCTTTTGTTTCTTTACAACGTACACATACGCAAATAAATTTGTCGAAGTCAATTTATTTGATGACAACCGCCAATTATAAGTGCT